TAGAGCAACATTATATGAATTCATCCAGTGCCAAGGGATCAGAGAAGACATAAATGGGTTCGAGTGGAAAATGGGGCTTCGCTCGAATCAACTAAAACAAACTTGTCTGTCAGACTCACAAGAACTCATTCAAACTACCGGTATCTACACGGCATAAATGAAATAAATCTGTCAACAACAAACAGCCGAGGTCAAGTCAACAGGTAGGCAGATTACTTCTGCTGCACTATCACTGATCAAATCCAGAGTATATAGAACTAGTCGATTTCGTCACGATTTCGCAGAACTTGCACTTCAATATTGAGCAATTATTTAACTAAAAGCCTTATATTGTGAATCAGGTTATGCGTATGCTGCATCGTGCTTCTGCAAATACATCAACAAGGATAAAAAATATAAATTTGACATGCAGTAGTTGTGAAATAGGTGAAGTAGCATCCTGATCAGGTTGCTGATTTATGACATGCACTCAGAATCCCTTTTGTTGCGGAGTTATTACAATTTAGCGGAAAATCTGTATGAGACGAAAGGGTATCAAAAATCTTCTTTGGCATTTTAAGGATACAACTCGTCTCCTCGCCAAGCATACAGCTTATCAACCGTCTGAGCAAGCATCAAAATCATATGGGCGTAAACAAATATCTTCAAAAGTTCTCTATTTGATCAGTAGCGCATTAATTTTTCCAAAAAACTCATTAAAAAATTCATTAGAATTGAGCCGTACGGACATTCTTAAAAGGGCGTCTACTAGGAAAAGTATAAAGACGAGAGATTGCTAATACGAGTTTCAATAGATCCAACCAAAAGAGTTATTATGGGGTAGCGATACAAAAAATAGAAGTAGGAAATCTTGAATACGCACTCGAGTAGGATGCTTGAGTGTGCTATTGTGTGAGGCTCAATGGACATCACTATTCAAAGGCTGTTCTAGCTCTTTTTCACTGTGGGCTACCAGCACCTTTAACCAAAAAGAATAGAAGATAAGACTATAATTTTGCATAGACTTTTACTTTGACATGTTCCAATTCAGACTAAAATGCAATTTTGACTTGACCCCACCAACCAGGCGGGATTCGAATCGAGAATGTGCGTGTCAGCAGTAAAGCAATTTTTTCTCCTTATACCGTTTTTAACTTTGTACCTATAGGTAGCAATACAGATTTCGTCGTTGGCAAAAGTGTTATCATAGCATGACTCTTCATTTCGAAGGAAAAGCTGGTTGAAAGGAATTCATGATGTGGTTTACCGGTAGCCGGAGGATTAACTTAGACTGAAGAATGTTTGATTATGTGAAGAAGTCCTCAATTCACCGTCATTCGAATCCAATGAAACCATGATGAGCTTTCGTCTGTCCAACTGTGAGGGACATAGGCAGAACGAGATAATTTTATGAGAATGCGCACTAATATGAACCAACCGATCATATCATGGTATGTTCCATTACGATTGCATAAAGAACTGCTTCACACAATTCAAAAGTATTTACTTCAAGATAGACTAATTCAAGGATTCATTTAAACCAACTTTTACTCCGAAATAATAAGCAATATCAGGAAAACTCATCAAGACAATCCTCGAAACTTCATACAGGAAAAGTTTTATTTTGATTCTTTTAGATTCCCT